AGTGAGTTCGGTTCCGTACGGATGTCCCAAATGCCCATCTGATACCCGGCCATCATAGCCGCGCCCAATGATATCGTGTCGCATATGTTGGGCCTCACGAACAGTTGGCCGGTTATGTCGGCCAGGGATTGGACCAACGCGTTGTTATACGACATAACGCCGTCTATTTTGATGCCATTGCTGTCGGACCTCATGAGGGATAATATGTCGTTGGCCTGGAAGGCGATGCTCTCGACGGTGGCCCGGATTAGGTGCGATTTGCGACTGAATTGCGTGAAACCCAATATAATTCCCGTGGCGTTGGAGTCCCAGTGCGGGGCATACAGTCCTATGGGAGCGAGAGGTATACGGGATTAATATTTTTGATATTATTTTAATGATTTCAATTAAATGAATGAATTTTTCTCTAATTGTCAAAAAGATGTGCTTTTTATTAACGCTATATTTGATGAATAATTTAAAGATAAAATTTTTATTACAGTACTATTTTAGTAATAGTAACGCAATTTTCCGTTACTGTCAGTCAATACTGTAACTAATTTTCAATTTTCAAGGGTGTTTTAGTAGATTACACGAATTAGTGGTATTTTAAATTTCATGATCAAAATTTCAGACCAAGTATGTATTACAAGTTATACAGAAATAAAATCTTATACACATAAAAACTTATTTTAATTCCTAGTCTAAACACACTCCACTAATGATCAAATGATAATAACTAATTTTGATATGATATAACCAATATCTAATCAATATTTTAAATACACGAAAAATTGACACATAATTTATATTATAATTTACTAGAACTGTATAATATTAAAATTTGCATTTTTATTATACTTTGAACATTTGGACTTATAGTCCAAAACTACAAGCATTTTTTTAAAACTCAACCAAAATACTCCAAGACTTTTCAAATTTATGGATTAATTTCATTTAAAAACGATGCATACCTTGAAAGGCGGGCACAAAGTAGACGCCCCCACAGTTCTCCTCCATTTGTGCTATACTTTCCACATCTCCGTAGTGTTTGATTACTTCAAGATTATCCCGAAGCCAAG